CCTGCCCGGAGGACCCGAGCACCAGGCCAGCCTGAACCCCTGCCCGGAGGACCCGAGCACCAGGCCAGCCTGTACTTCTGCCTGGAGGACCTGAGCAGCAGGCCAGCCTGAACCCCTGCCTGGAGGTCCTGAGCACCAGGCTAGCTTGCACCTCTGCCCGGAGGTCCCACGGATGATCATCGCACCCCGCCATCCTTCTCCCTTTTTTGCTCAGGCTGGTTCCCACTGAATCCTTTTCACCACCAGCACGACCACATGGAGCTCCTTGGCTCCAGCTCAGAAGTCTACTCCGCACCCTCAACTCCTCTTCGTTCCTGTCTAAAGCCAGGTGTGTTTGAATTACAATACTTGCTAACAGATTTTAAGTTCTGGGAAGATAACTGTCCTAACTGTTCTTTTTTAAACTTTTCTACTGTCTAGTTCTCCCATGTTCATTCTTCCAGATAAATTTAGGTTCATTTTGTCAAAAAAAAATTTTTTAAAGCAAAAATACATTGTTTATGATTGGGGGAGGGGGGATGGTTTGGTTTGGTTTGGTTTGGTTTGGTTTGGTTTGGTTTGGTTTGGTTTTTTCGAGACCAGGTTTCTCTATGTGACAGCTTTGGCTGTCCTAGAACTCCTGCTGTAGACCAGGCTGGCCTTGAACTCAGAAATATCCACCTGCCTCTGCCTCCCCAGCGCTGGGATTAAAGAAGTGTCACCATATTTGACCATTGCCCATGAATTTGGTTTGAATCGTGAGTGCATGGATCAGGTGGGGAGATCGAGGACATCGGGGCAGCGTTAAGGCTTCCTCCCCAAGAATCAGCTGCTATAGTCAAGTACTTTGTGATCTGTTCGGCTTTGGCAGATTTGGGGATGTTTTGCATTGTTTCCTAAGGTCACTCCTCCATGCTTTGTTTGAGTCGCTGTTGGTCCACCCTGTCATTCTTACCTGAGTTTGGGAGTGTGGACCACAGAAGACTCCTCCCCCTTGCAGACAGTCCCTAGTAAGCTAAGCAGCTTGTACTGACGATGTCCCCGCAAGTTTGAGTTATGTGTTCTTCTCCAGAACTTTCTCTAGGGCCATTTGGAGCCAGATCAAACAGCATAGGTTATGATGCAGAGCTATAGCTAACAGCTGTGGGGAGTGGGTCTACTGGGCAAATCCTCCAGCCCTTCCAGCCTTAGGTCAGCCATTCTGTATGCTCAGCAGATGCTCAAGGATCGCTTGCCAAACACAGGCAGCAACTTTGTAATGCCCTCCTATTTCATTTTCCTCCTTTGACCCCACAGGCCTGCCTCCTTCAGCTCCTAGCCAGACAGTAATGGTGCACACCTTTAATCCCAGCACTCAGGAAGCAGAGGCAGATGGATCTCTGAGTTCGGGGCCAGCCTGGTCTACAGAGTAAGTTCCAGGACATCCATCTGCACACAGAGAAACCCTATCTTGAAGATAGATAGATAGATAGATAGATAGATAGATCTATCCTCTCAGGCTCTAATCTTAGGAGACACTCAAACTGAGACAAACCTCTATGAATTCTGACTCTTAATGTGTCAACAGTCTGTTTCCCTCTTGCCAAGGAAGGAATCATCACACCTACCTGAATCAAGCTGCTATGCAAAGCTGGTTCAGTCTGACCTAGAGCAGGGAGCTCTATGATTCTTCAGGTAAGGAAAAGTCCTAGACAAAGGAACCACAGAGATGGCAGATAGAAGTGGTTGTATTGCCAGGTGGTGGTACGTGCATCATTCCTGCACTCGGAGGACAGCCAGGCCTACATAGAGAACCCCTGTTTCAAAAAGCCAAACCAATTCTCCCCTAAAAAGGCTGTGCTGTCCCTCAGAGAACTAGATGTGCGGAAATCAAAACCCAGATGAACGTGACTTTCTCCCCTTGACTCTCCTGCCCCCCACACTGGCACCATGTACACACACACTCACGTGTCTCCAGCTGTATAACCCAGCTATCTCTACGTATCTGTTCTCTGGTGTCTTCTCTTTTAAACGCTGCGGAAAGTCTCGAAGCACACACCTCACCCCAGCTCTTTAGCCCCCCTTAGCCCATCTCACCCCAAATCTAAACCACTGCGCCCGCTTCACTCCTGTCAACTTTACATTCCAGAGCACAGTTGATTTCTGATAATAAACAGAATTAAGGCAGTGTCTGGGGAGGGTTAGGGCACTCAGTACAGGTTTTCTGAGGAGAATGCTTTATGGAGCTGCACAAGTACACAGGCTGTTATCATCAGCTGCAGAAACGCACTTGACTGAAGAAGGTTTGACTTACATATTTTTTTTCTACATCATAATGGTGGAGACACAGCATGCATGCAGCCAATCCATACTTTGGGTTTTAATTTTAGATCTTTTCCTGGGCAAGCACTGTGCCATATGATCCCTGTTCCAGTTTGCTTCTCTATTGCTGTCGCCAGACGGCGACAAAGAATCACAGCACACAGTCAGCCACACTATCAGGACACACAACAATGCCGTGTGTCACCTGTATATACTAATTTCTAATGGTCAGTAGATTAGGTGTGTGTGTACCAGCGTGGGAGAAGGCTGAGTCAGTAAAATGCTTGCCACAGAAGGGTTAGAACCATAGTGTGATCTCCAGCATGCATGAAAAAAATATTAATAATAACCTAGGCACGGCATTATCGGGGAGGCAGAGACTGAGGGATCCCTGGAACTTGCTGTATAGCCAGCCTAACCAGTTTCATCAAGGGGCCCTGAGTAATGGAGAAAGACACTCAACATCAACCTATGATTTATCACCATCCCGTGATAAATCATGATGCATCTGCCTGTTGCCACCATGAAATGTCCCATTAGTTACTGTTTAAGGATGTTCTTTTTCTCTTTTATTTCTTTTTTTATGGTCATGTAGATGGCTCATATTGTATGACTATCTTTCAGTTTGTGTCTTTCGCATAAGTTCTTTAAGTCATTTTTTTAGAAGATTTATCTTGGGGGGGGCGCACGCCTTTAATCCCAGCACTTGAGAGGCAGAGGCAGGCGGATTTCTGAGTTCAAAAAAAAAAGATTTATCTTATTTTTAATCTGTGAATGTGGGTATGTCTGCATGAGTGTATGTCGTGCATTCAGGGGTGCCTTCGGAGGTGTCAGACCCCCTGAATCTGGAGTTACAAGCTATTGGGGGCTGCCAAGCTGCTGGGGGCTGCTGATTGTGGGTGCCAGGAACACAACTCGGGACCTCTGGAAGAGCAATACACTTTCTTAACTGAAGAGCCGTCTCTCCAACCCTTTTAAATATCATAAAAATGATCCACACACAGCAACTATTACTTCAAAGTAAATGATTCACATCGTATACTGAAGGCAATCTCCTTGTTAAGAGATCTGCACGGGCAGCGACCCTAGCACAGGCCCACACACAGCTACATCCAGAAGACAAGAGGAAGGGGAGACCACTGGCTGCCTGTGGACAGGGCCAAGAGTTCTCTCAACCTGAAGTGACAAATGCTTCTGACAGTGTGTTTTCACATTTCCACTTTGAGTTTTCCTTTTGTGACTTCTTAGTTCTTCATAGTCCTGATATTAATTACTTGTTATAAATGTTACAACTATTTCATACAAGTCTGGTCTGGCTCTGGCACTGGTTTCTAATTTTAGATATCAGACTTGCCAATCTTTTCTGTAGAGGAAGAATATTATTTTCCTGCATTGTATTTATAAAAAATATATACATATTATATATATATAATTTCTTGTATTTTGGTGTTATTTATGAGCAAACATTTTGCCCTGTTTTGTTAGTAATTCCAAGCCTATAAGGTGTCTGTAATTGCCCTCACTCCTACCCTTGGTTATACTAATATAACTTTGCCCTCACGTGTCTGTAATCCTGGGTTGGGTATTCACTCCATTTATTCAGTCTACAAAGCAGCTTCTGTTTGTTGTGATGAATGTCGCAGGCCAGTGTGTTTCTTTCCAAGTCTCTGATACACTCAGCGCCAGAAGGCAGCAGTTCCCTGGTGGTCCCGCCCCCCAGCAGACAGAGGTAAAAATTATCCCATCTTCCAATTGAAACTTTAGGACAGAATAGCTAACTCACGCTGCCATACCAGGCTGCGAACAGGCTGTGCTATTCAAAGTTCATTCTATCTTCACAGTGCTGCTGCTGACCTGTGGCCTTCCTAACATGAGCCAAGCCACGCCCGGTTCCTAATCCCCAATGACCACACAGCTCATGAATGTTTATTTCTCTTCTTTTTACTCTAAAAAAAAAAAAAACAAGCTGACGGCAGCGAGCTGCACGCTGCACGATGCGCCACGGGTCTCAATAGCCACCCCACCACCAGGCATCATACGACATTCCTCAAACACCGTTCTTTACCAGTCCCTTAAAATCCTAGATGAAAACTCCCAAAGGCGGGGAGACCCTTAGGCAGGATCTCTCCCAATTCTAAACCTCAGCAGCTCAAGGCGTTAAGGAAATAAATCAGGGGAAGGGAGGTTCCTAATGGTCCTTGCTCAGCTCTGTCTCGCAGACCCAGCGATAGGGCCGCCTGCAGACGTCATCATTCCAGCGGCCATCCGAAGTGAAGTGGGCGCAGTCCTCGCCCCCTCCTAGGCCGTGACCATACCAGTCATCTGGCTGCTCTGGTCTCCAGTTCCTAGAGAGAGAAGATGGCTGTGAGCCCCAGGAAATCAGACTCTCAGCCACGTTGCCGGTCTTGGGACACAGGCTGGGAGGTCAGAGACCCCAGCCCAGGATGCCAGGAGCTGCTGCAGACACACACTCACTTGAAGCCTGTCTCGTAGTCCGTCCCATCCACCCATTTCCAGGGCCCGTTCTGGTCAGTGAGGCCGATCCAGGTGTTTAAGGGGCCCATGTGGTGCTGGACGAATTTCTGAGGAAAGAAGCAGAGTTGGTAACCTCTCCCTTCCACCGTCTGGCATCCCAGAAGAACCCAGCGCGGCCTCACCTGCTCATCCCAGGAGGTCACCACCACCAGATGGGCATTCTCCAGCTGGCAGTACTTGTCAGCTTCCGTCCAAGACCTCACGGAGCTGGAGAACCAGTAGCAGCTGCCTTCATACTCCACCCAGTTGATGGGGCAGCAGGTCCTTTCAGAGCCTGAGGTGGGGGATGGGGGATGAAGGGCTGAGCTGCTACCAGGGTCGGAGTGCTCAAGAAAGCAGGACTAGTACCCCTCCCCTCACCGTTGCCGTGGAGTGCGGCCATCTGACAACTCAAGCTCCGCACATCAGACACTAACTGCTTCACGTGCAGTAGCAGTCTGGAGTGATCTGCGGGAGGGGGAGGGGAGAGAGGCAGAGGACAGGATGGGAGAAGAGAGGAGGGAGAAGGAAGAAATTAGGTGACTGTGAAAACAGGGGAACATCCAATCATCACAGGCCCCTGGCCAAAACTACGATCTAGGCTGAGAGATTTGGCCCCGCGTCAGATCCCTCCCCCCGACGTCCCCCTCCTCTGTCTCACTCTCACCTCTCCCTTCCCGCTTTCTCCCCCTAACCTCTTCCCCCTTGCCCCTCATTTCTTCCTCTCCCTCTCCCCCTCCCTCTCCCCCCACCCCACCCCCACCCCCCACCCCCACCTCACCTTCACTCAGATCCTGCTGCTGTTTTTCCAGCTGCACCTCCACTAACTTCATCTTTCTTCCCACACTGCCTCCTAGAGGATAAACATGATCAAAGTCCTGACAACCCAACCACCCCTCACCCAGACCCAGGCCCCAGGCCCAGCCCCCCTCACCCTGGGCGCTCAGGGCCTTGACCTGGTCTTCAGTGCTCACAGTGAAGTTGCTGAAATTCTGCCTTAGAGCCAGCAGATCTTCCCGGAGTTGGGAATCTAGGCAAGAGAGGATGTAGGTAGGAAAAAATACGTTGTCTGTGCCCACCAACTCACCGCACCCACCGCACCCACTGCCCCCTCGCACACACCCGAAGTTGCCCCCTTTCTCTGCCCAGCCCTGGCCACCCACTTTGGGATGTGATCACACAGACAACCACCAGCAACAGGATGCTGAGGCTCAAGGAAAGCAGGAGGAGGCGGAATCCAGAGCAGAGTCGCTGCAAGAGCCGTGGAGTGGGAGACAGCCCTGCAAGAGAGGGTGTCAGGAGTTCACGATCCGGGCCAATCTAAATCCCGAGTTGCTAGGAAGAGCGTAGACTAAGATCTTCAGGAGACTAAGAGGAACCGTATAGATTAAGAAATGTGGGCCATGGGCAACCCTGCAGGACCTGAAGTTAGAGGGAAAAGGGGTTATCAGAAGGTCAAAGCTTTGACCTGCCCTAGCGCTGTCAAGGCCCTGAACCTCTGCTGCCACCCTGTGGCATAATAGCGTCATTACAGACGATGAACCGCGCCTGGGGAGTCACTGCTCCACGAAAGTCTGGGTTTCCTTCTCTTTCCATGAATCCTGTGCGTCTTTGGTTGCATGCAGGGAGAAAAGGTGAGCCTCTCACACCAAGGAAGAAAATGACACTCAGTCCTGTCGGTTGGCGTGCGGGCCTTTCCCCTGTTTCCTCCCCTGTGCTCCTTCCTGCATAAAGCACACTGCCCACCTGGGACAACTCAAGAGCTCTGTATTTGTTTTTACAAGTACACAACAGTCCCCACTCAGAGAACAAAGAAGTAGAGAGAGGAGATATTTCATTTTCCATCAAAGCTGAGACCCTCAACCCCCTCTCCAAGGGTCCCTTAGGCCAAATTGATCCTGATCACACCCACGCCCCACCCATACCCACAGATACACACTGTGGAAACTGAAGAAGAAACGGAGCCTAACTTCAGAAAGGACTAACAATAAACTCATGTCCCAACCTTCAGTTGGCCCTGCACCTTGGATCCACCCGCTGCCTGGGGTCTTGAGGAGTGGGTAACATTGGGAGGTAGCTTGAACACCTGTCACTGAGGGCTCCAACTCCCTGTACTCGACTTCCCGGTAAGAGTAACTCAGCCACTGTTTTCTAAGTGTATGGGACAAAGCTAGGGATCTCCACAGGGAAACAGGAGCTGAGACGGAGGGACAGAGCCATCCACTGATGCTCTCCTCCAGAGGGGAGCACTCCTCATCTCTCTGGAAGGGAGCACCTCTCACCTCTCCGGAGTTGGTGATGGTCGTTCTCATTGTCCAGGTCCTGGAAATCTTGATAATCCTTTGTCATGATAGCACTGGACAGGACCTAGGACAGTCAAGTTTAGAGCTGAGGACGGGGCTAACAGGCTCAGAGGTAGAAGAAGTCCAATTCCCTTTACATCTGAGTAGGTGAACATGCCTTCTTTCTCCCCCACCCCCATCTGCTCCCAAGCCTGACATCCAAAAATCTATCCTCTAGCTGGGCATGGCGACACATGCTTTTAATCCAGTATTCAGGAAGCAGAGACTAGTGGGTTCGAGGCCAGCCTGGTCTACAGAGGGAGTTTCAGGCTAAACAAGGCTATATCCTGTCTAAGAAAAATCTATCCTCTTCCATTTTTTCATAGTGCCCATGTGAACTGCTCGTGCAGGACTCCTCCAGCCACTCTCTCTTGGCGGCCACCCATCCCTTCTCCCCCTGCTGTACTTACTGAAGGTCCCTCAGCACCACGAAGAGCCCAGGCTAAGGAGGGGGCTGAAGCCTGAAGAACCAGGTGGACAGCCCTGGGCAGTGGGAGGGGAGGGGACAGGGTCCATCCAGGGCCCCTGTGTGTCTGAGCATGCTGAACCTGGCATCGCCAACGCCAGGACTTTGGACCATAAACAGAGGTGGGAATAGACTTGGAACTGGGTAGGTATTGGGGAGGAAGGAAGGCATGGGTGACCTCTATTCTATTTCTCAGAAAAGGGGAGTCTACACACACACACACGCACACATACATGCATGTACGCACGTACACACGTTCAATACTCTTTAACTATTTGTGGGTGAGACAAGCCTTAAAAGGCTAGGGTACAGTTTGCTGCTTCCCCTTAGAGCCCTCCCCCTTTCAGTCCTGAATTTCCCAGAACTGTCCGTATCTCCAAATATCCCTGACCAGGGTCAGAGGCATCAACTAACTCCCCACTCTTGCCCAATCCTGCCCTGTGACCTCGGCATTGTAACTGCAAGCTGTAGACTCCTGGGGTCTCAGCTCTCGGCTCCTCAGTTCTAACCTGACTGGCTCACTCTATGGTAGTTCTCCAAGCAGCATGGAGGTAATAGGAGAAGCAGTTCTCTCCTGGGATTGGGGCCAAGAAATCATTGATTTTACTGTGTGCCCCAGGGCTTCAACCTTTCTCATCTCTGGAGAACCCATTCTGCAGGCAAGAAAGTTGAGGCCCTGGAAGACAAGAGCTTGTCAAAGCCATACTACACAGACGAGTGTAGATAAACACATGGGCAGCCCAACTCTGTGCCCTGTGGGATGCCTTCAGCACCTCACTCAGAACGGGGTCGTTAGCTGTTCCACGTACCAGGTCCCCAAGTCCCCAGAGAGGCTTAAACATGGCCCCTCACAGTCCTGAGAGCTTCAGAGAGGCCTGTCAGAAATCAGCCTCTAGCTTGGGATGAGAGCAACATACACAATATAACAGGCCTCTTGTTAGGTTCCAAAGTGAAAACTGGCCTCTGTGGACGTTTAGCGCCTGTGAGCTATTCAGGAAGGCAATGCTTACATAAATCCAACCACTCTGTGTGTCCTTGTTTGTCTGTGTCCTAAAAATCCTCATGTTGACATGTACTGGGCTTGCTGCCAGCGATTTTGGTGAAAATTGGGCCATTAATTTAACACTCTCTGATTTTGCCACTTACAATCTAGTTTATTCTGGCAAACGAACAGACACAGATCCAGTCTGAATACTAGTTATACTCATAGAGGTAGGGACTGGCAGGGATCAGGGTGGAGCCTGGGGATGAGGGAGCACTGAGGCCTAGGGGTGAGGGAGCACTGAGGCCTAGGAGTAAGGGAGCACTGAAGCCTAGGGGTGAGGGAGCACTGAGGCCTAGGAGTGAGGGAGCACTGAGGCCTAGGGGTGAGGGAGCACTGAGGCCTCTTGCTCTCTCAATGCTGATGAGACCTTGGCATTAGCTTGTAAAACTGAAAAATGCTGTAAACTCAGGATTTTTGCATTTTCCTATTTGCATATTGTCCTGGAAGAAGGCATTTTGAAATCCAGTTCATAACCCTAGAGCCATGCCCTAAGCTCATGGGTAGGAGAGCAGTTAACACACATGTTTGAATAAGTGGTAAGAGTGGTAAGCGTGGTTGGTGGATGTATGGGTGTGTGTGTGTGTGTGTGTGTGTAGTTTTTCATCCCTTTTCAATAGATTTCTATTTAGAGCGATACATTTTATAATATATATAATATATATAACATATACATATATAATAGATCGATCCCATTGGATATGTGTACCAGTCATTTATTGCAAAATAAATACCCCCACAACTTAGCAACTTAATAAACACAGACTGTGAAGTTTTAAGTGCAGCTTCAACCATTCGGCCATTGGTTCTGACTCAGAATCTCTCCTGAGGACACAACCATGATCTCAGTCAGTGATGTATTTGTTGAAAGGCTGGACTAAGGCTGGAAAATCAACTACCAAAGTGACTCACTCATACGACAGGCAAATTACTGCTGGCGCTGCTTGGCGTCCTCTGTTCCTCACCACACAGGCCTACCCACGAGGCTGCTTGAATGTTCTCATGACATGACTGTGGCCTAGCCTCAGAGAAGCAGCCTATCTTTTCCACACTGTCCTCTGGTCTCCCCAGTCAGCCCTCCTCATTGTGGAAAAGAACCACACACAATGTAGGTCCCAGGAGGCAAGAAGCCCTGGGACCCTCAACGGACAGGTAACCACATACCAGGAAGACGTGCTCAAAGATCTCTTACTGATAGGCCGACATGATCAGCACATTTAGAGACAATGTGGCTATACTCCGGGAGCATGAAGAGTTGCAAATTGGGCTGGAGATGAGCTCTCTCCTTCTCTGCTCCCTAGCTGCTCCTCAGTCAGCAGCCTTCTCTACCACACACCCTACAGTGCCATGATGTTCAACCTCGCCACAGGCCCAACTTGACCAAGCCAGCCAACCATGGATGGAACTTGCCGAAACCCTAAGCCAGGGCAAACCTTTCCTCCTTTGCCTTCCCAGGTATCTCTTCCCAGCAGCAGCAGCAAATATAGATGAAATTCCTGACCAGAGGAGGGCGGAGAATGAGCTCCAGTGCCGACAGCTGGGGCTGCAGGAGACCAAGAAGAAAGATAGAAATGAGTCTGCTTCGGGGGAAACTAGACACAAGGAAGTATGTTTCAGGTTGGGAGAGGCCTGGACAGCTACAAAGCTGAGAAGGAATGAACCAAAATGAGCCTGTGAACCCTAAGGATAAGCAAGAGGCACCGAGGATGAAGGCCCCCAGAAGGGGATGTGGGAGAAGTCTGAAGCCTATTATCAGACCATTCTGGGCTCATCTGAAAAGCTGGATTAATGCTCATCTCGAGGACCCATTCTGAGTACTGTGTGCTGAGTGCTGTGTACTGAGTGCTATGTGCTGAGTGCTGTGTGCTGAGTGCTGTGTGCTGAGTGCTGTGTGCTGAGTGCTGAGTGCT